ACATCTCCCTCATCCGGTGGTGACATGTAACACCTAGCTGTATTCACATCTCCCTTCCTCATCTGGTGGCTGCTAGACATTATATATTTGTCTGTTGCTAGCGAATACAGAGAGACTTTCTGACTTAGCTTTACTTTTCCTGTTCCTGCCTCAAAGCATTCCCATCTTTCTCTAAAAAGATGTCTAAGAGCTGGGGATATAGCTCAATGATTAAGCATTTGCCTAGCAAATATGGCTCCTTGGGTTTGAGCCCAGGCATCATCAAGCAAACAACAACACACAAAAAAAGGGGAGTTCATTCACAGTACTGGCTAGTTTTATGTCAAGCTAACACAAGCTAGTCATCAGAGAGAGAGCCCCAATTGAGAAAATGCCTCCAGAACATTAGACCTATAGGGCATTATTTAAATTAGTGATTGATGGGGAAGGGCTCACCCCATTGCGGGTGGGAACATTACTGGTCAGGTGACCCTGGGTTCTATAAGAAAGCAGGCTGATGACAGGCGGTAGTGGCACACACCTTTAACACCAGCACTCGGGAGGCAGAGGCAGGCAAATCTCTGTGAGTTTAGTCTACAGAGCAAATTCCAGGACAGCCAAAGATACACAGAGAAAACCTATCTCAAAAACTGGGAAAAAAGCAGGCCATTAATAAGTAACATCCCTCCATGGCCTCTGCATCAGCTCCTGCCTTCACTTTGAGTTCCTATCCTCACTGCTTTTGATGAGGAACTGTTACATAGAACTGTGAGTGAAATTAACCCTTTCCTTTCCCCACATTGCACTGGGTCATGTCATTTTATCACAGAAACAGTAGCCCTAAGACATTAACTAAAATATGGTAAATTGGTATGGATCTATTTAAAATATTTAAATGAGCTGGGTGGTGGTGGCAAAAACCTTTAATCTCAACACTTGGGAGGCAGAGGCAGGCAGATCTCTATGAGTTGGAAGCCAGCCTGGTTTACAGCTAGTTAGAGGATAGCCAGAGCTACACAGAGAAACCCTGTATTGGAAAAAAAATAATAATAAAATATTTTAATGTAAATATATTTTTCAATAGAAAAAATAAGTGTATATTCCAAAATACGAGTTCTCTCTGTGATATGGTAATGGACAGGTTTTTATTTTTTTTTAAGATTTACTTATGCATACAGTGTTCTGCCTACATGCCAGGAGAGGGTACCAGATCTTTTTTCCCCCTTTGGTTTTTCGAGACAGGGTTTCTCTGTGTAGTTTTGTAGACTGGCCTGAAACTCACTCTGTAGACTAGGCTGGCCTCGAACTCACAGAGATCCACCTGACTCTGCCTCCTGAGTGCTGGGATTAAAGCGTGTGCTACTACCACAAGGGCACCAGATCTCACTTTGGATGGTTGTGAGCCACCATGTGGTTTCTGGGAATTGAACTCAGGCAGGTCCTCTGGAAGAGCAGCCAGTGCTCTTAACGTCTGAGCCATCTCTCCCGTCCCCAATGGGTAGGTTTTTTTAAATCTATATTTATACTGAGATAATTATAAATTCACATTTATTTGTAAAAATAACAGAAAAATCCAGGTACAGTGGCACATACCTGTGATTTTAGTACTTATATTATATAATGAGATTCTGCCTCAAAAACCAAAACAAAACAAAAGAAATAATACAGCAGAACCCGGGTACATTTTACTCATTTTTTCTTTTTAAAAAAGATTTATTCATTGTATATACAGTGCTCTATCTGCATGCATGCCTGCATACTAGAAGAAGGCATCAGATCTCATTATAGATGGTTGTGAGCCACCATGTGGTTGCTGGGAATTGAACTCAGGGCCTCTGGAAGAGGAACCAGTGCTCTGAACCTCTGAGCCATCTCTCCAGCCCCCATTTTACTCATTTTTAACTAACATCCATTTTTAAAACCAGAAAACCCATCAAACAAATAGTCAGAGGTTCATCTAGTAAATAGGAAAAAAAAAACTGAACAAACTATTCAACCAGGAATCAACTTCTTCCTCAACCTTTTGTGTCTGTGTTACAGTATTTAATGCTCTATTTAGAAATTCTATCTTTGTGGATTGTTCCCTCTAGTGGTTTGAAAATTTCCAGAGCAGGGGTGATCTTACTATTTTCACCGTACTACCAGTGACAAGTCTAGCAAATGGGAGAAATGAGAGGAGGCAATAATATGGGGACTCAGCCAAAACCTTTCTGGGATGTGGCAATGGCTTAGTGAGTAAAAGCACTTGCCACACAAACATGAGGATCTCGATTCCGATATCCAGCACCCACACACAGCCATGTAAGATAGCACATGCTTGTAATCTGAACATTCCTTCAGCAAGATGGGAGATGGAGAAAAGAGAGTACCTGGAAGCTTGCAGGCCAGCTAGTCTGACATATGACACAGCAAACAAGAAACCCTGTTCAAACACGGTGGAAGGCAAAGGCCAACACCTGAGAGTCTCCTCTAACCTCCATGTGTTTAATGACATATGAGCACTTGCGCTCACACATACAAAGATAAAAAGAAACTCCTCAAGTCTTAGGCAGTTAAGCATTTAAGAATTCAGATTCTTTTTCAGGCCAGTGAAAGTGGTCTTGTTCAATTTCCATATAAAAATTTAGATATGTAAATCCTACTCACTTCTTACTGATTTCTCATTCAGTTAACATTTATTGAGTTTCTACTGTTAACTAGGATGTTGGATACTGAGGATTGTGGCTAACAAGACTGACATGGTCCCTATTTCTACCATATCTCTAAATTATTTTAATTTTAAATGTGTCCAGGATTATTTGTATATTTTATGAATTTTTAAGACAGCATCTCACACAGTACCTCAGGCTGGCCTGAACTAACTATGTAAATCAGGCAGATTTCAAACTTGGGACAATTCTATTGTCTCAGACTCCCAAGTGCTGGGATTACAAGTGTGAACCACCATACCTGGTGTGTGCTTTATAAAGCAAATATTTCTTATACCAATAATAATTTCTGAATACTATTTTGCCAGATATAAAACTTTGAATTCTGAGACAATGCCAAGAGGTTATCCAAATAGGCCTAAATTGGGAATCAGTTGTTAAATGAAATACTAAATTAATAATCTTATCTTTAGGAGCTACAATAAATAAAACATCTATAGTCAAGCTGTTTATCAGGCTTTACTTCTATGTACATGGCCATTTTCCTTACGAGACTACAGAAACCACTAAGGCATACAGGGCCCATGTGCCTCATTCTTTTTCTTGTTCACTGTTACATGAAACACACACACATGCATACATGCACGCATGCACTCATGCACACAGATCAGTCAATCAAATGATTGATTACTATAGTTTCAGAACCGTCTACTAAAATATAGGAACAAATAAAATCAACTATATTAAAAGTAGGTCCTGGACAGATGGCTCAGCAGTCAAGAGTACCAGCTGCTGCATCAGGAGGCCTCAATTAATTACCAGCATCTAATGGTAATGGTACCAGCATCTCATAACCACCTGTAACTCCAGGTCCAGGTGCTACAACGTCGTCTTTTGGTCTCTGTGGGCATGGCATGATACACATGCAGTAAAAACCATCTATACACATAAAATAATAAAATAAAAAATTGAATTTGATGGACTGAGGATGTAGTTCAGCTGGCAGAGTTCTTGCATAACATGCATGAAACATCTTATAAAAACCACAAATGGTGGCAACATGCCTGTAATCCCAACACTCTAGAGATCCTCAGTGTCATTCATCCTCAGCTATATACTGAGTTCTGCATTAGCCTGGGCTACATTAGACCCTGACTCAAAAAAATTAAAGTAGTTTTTTTTATGTACTGAGTCAATGCAAACTTGCCATATTACTGCATACATGATTTTCTCCTTAGCCCCAGTTTCATGTATAGGAGGGTTGGAAAACCTGATTTCTAGGAATGGCACACAGTACAAAAATCAGGTCGTTTATTCATCATCCAGTTACCACCGAATCAAAGCTCCAACGTCCCTTATCACTGACCCACTTAAAGAAGAGTGGTCCTTGTATGAGAAAGAATTTAAATAAAAATTTAAAAAAGAAAATAAGGAAAATATACATCATTATGTGTTTCCCCAGTATTCAACATCAACAAAGATTACCCAGAGTTGTCAGTCTCATAAAGAATTAAAAGCATGTTCTCACCAACTGCCAGGTAATAGCTTCAAGCAGAAAGAGCAACAATATTTTATTTTCTTACAAATAAACATTTCACAAAAATTTGACTGGGAATGTGTATGTACTTTTAAACAGAAGGAAAGAAAACAAAGAAGTAAGTTTCAGGACCTACAGACTGTATTGAAAATCTCATGGACCCTATCTTACATATAGTAGGCATATAACACCTATCAACTGAACCAAAGATATGCCCTCTGTAAGATGGGTCCGCAAAATGTCTAATACCACAGTAGTAAAGTACAATGTTCAAATATGTAATTTTGTCTGTCAGATTTTAAAAGCCTTTAAAAATATAATATGCACAAGCTTGCCCTGAGGGAAAAGAAGATGGAATAGAGATTACAAAATCCTTACATATTTTCCACAATAGCATTTGAAACTAGAAAAGAGCAAATAGTCATGGGAATACCCAAGACACACATTTACTAACAGTTCAGTGCACTTGCCATGACCCGATGGAGAAGGCGCACCTTTTCTCTAGGCTTTTTATATTTGATTATGAAATGGATGATGTACATAGGCCTTGATCTCCAGAAACTTCAGAAAACTTCAAGTTATAAGTCAAAATGTCATCAGAAAAAGAAAAGCCAGTATAAAATTTGCTACTGTAAGGCCACTGTTTAAAGTTATTTCATGTATAGACACTATATAATTCTGATGTTTGTTTTTATAACATAAACAAAGCTTTCAACATATAAATGTTTAGATATAATTTGATTAAATTCTCTTGGTGAAACCTTACTCAGAAAAGGATGTATCAACAAATAATGCCCCCAAATGATCCTGCTGAGCGTTTTTGCAAAAGAGTTGTAGTTAAATACAACTTTAAAACTGAATTAACAGTGATTAACAGTGATTGTTAAGTGTAAAAAAGTTGCAGTATTCCACTACTGAAAAATAAAGATATTTTATCAAGAAAGTTACAGTATTAGTGTCTTAGTGTCAATTCCAATTCCTGACCAAACAAGATGCTCAGTTACATCCTCAGTTAAGTCCTCATGTAGGGCCAGTTCCATTGCAACAATTCCCAGTTGGTTTTCTGTGGCAATATAGTGTATTCCTATCAAGAGAAAACAAGAGAAATATGAGCTTCAATAGAAGAGTCAGTTATAACATTTGAGCTAGAGTTTGACCCATAGTGCAGTTGTCAAAATGCTTTCATCTGTATAGTGCTAACTTGCACCTCACAATTCACACAAAGTAATGTGGAACCCAGAAGATGCCATCCAAACACGGAACAAACCAAAACAGGCAAAACTGAATCAGACAACAACCCCATTAGATGGCACTGGTCTTTGCAAGTGGAGAAAACACAGTGCTCCTTGGGAGTTTTTTCTGGGAAAGCACTCTGGCCTAAACTCAAGATTCAAATGTTGCCTTTCTAGTCCCCAGCCTGATATAACAGAGGCAGAGACGTGCCTAACTAGCATGTTATCCTTTCCATTGCATAGTACTTCTTATTCCAAAACTACATAGGCTCTTGTAATGACTTGACAATTGCAAAGAAAGCTTTTAGAAAATTTTCAGATGGTTGTCAACATAAAGATATAAGGTTTCAATAAATATGAGAAAAAAAACTCACAAAAACAGAACGATTATGATAAAAGTAGTAAGTGTGGGTTTTATATTGTGGTATGATGCAAAAACATTAAATTGCCAAGTACAAACTTGATACAAACTAAGCAAATAATAAAACTAAAAATGGCAGAATGATATGTATTTCAAAGACACTGAAAATAAAAATTTATCCAAATATATCCTTACCTTTTAACTAGGCTCTTACATTAAAACTGAAAAAAATGCAAAAGTGTGTTTATTTTTAGCATTCATATTAGAATGGAAATGTTTAATTCCAAATAAAAACAATGCTGATAGAAAAATCTTATTATTCCTTCTATCTTGCTTAATGAAATGTTAGCACATGCATATACATTTTTTAACATTATTCGTCTAAAAGTTGTAGATGGCATTGTATTTAATTCTTTATTAAGTATACAATATAAAACCATATATCTTCAAAGAAAATGTCACCAACTAACAACTTTGAAAACAAATTCTAAGTACAATAATTCTAAAGAAAACTTCAACTGAAAAATCTTATTTTTAAAAGCATGTAATACTTTGAAACTACTTTCATCTTGACATAGTTTCTTATCATCTCTCAAACTGATCTCCCACTCCTCCAATGATTTGAAAGTTATTTTTAAATGTAATACTGGACTAGATTTTGTCTAGCTTTTCCCCTTTTTTGGTTTTCTGAGACAGGGTTTTTCTGTGTAGCTGTAGATGTTCTAGAATTCACTCTGTAGGCCAGGCTGGCCTCTAAATCAGAGATCCACCTGCTTCTGCCTCTCCAGTGCTGGGATTAAAGAAGTACATCACCACTAGCTTGTCTAGGTTTGGTTTTGTTTTCTTTTCTTCTCCAAGACAGGGTTTCTCTGTGTAACAGTTCTGGTCGTCAGGGAATTAATTCACTGTAGAACAGGCTAAACTTGAACTCAAAAATCCACCTGTCTCTGCCTCCCCAGTATAGGATTAAAGATGTGAGCCACCACTTCCTAGCTAAGCTTTCTTAACAACACAGGATCACTGCAAATGCTACCATGATAGTCTTATATGGGAGTCCCCTCTGTGTGCTGTGATTACCATTAATGAATAAAGAAACTGCTTTGGACTTAAAGCAAGGCAGAACTTAAGTAGGCAGGGAAAGTCAGGCTGAATGCTGGGAAAAAGAAAAGCGGAGTCAAAGGGACGCCATGGAGCCATGGTCAGAGTCAGACATGTGGAAACTTTGCCAGTAAGCCACTGCCATGTGGAGATACACAGATTAATGGAGATGGGTTAAATTAATATGTAAGAGTTAGCCAATAACTAAGAGTTAGCTAGAGCTAATAGGCCAAGCAGTGACTTAAATAATACAGTTTCTGTGTGGTTACTTTGGTTCTGGGCAGCTGGGACGAACAAGTGGCCTCCTCCTTCTATACTAGTCTTACTGTGTCTCATCTTAATTTCCTGGGACCTTGCTACCCATTACTATCCAAGCAGCTGTCTTAAAGCACTACCTTTCCTTCTTACTCCACACAAAAGTATCCTCCTGCTACCATTTCAAATAAGAAATAAATTACACACAGTTTGAAGCCCTCAGTATATTGTGTATTTCTTTCTCCTTAAGACTACATACTACTGACGAATATGGACCAGAGAGGCTTCAGCTCTTTCTGTGTCTAGGTCTTTTTCAAGCTTCAGCTTATAACCTCTGGGAAGACAATGTCAGGGAAAGGACTTAGTGCACATCTCCTCACCACTCCTGCCACAGAAATCTTTCCCTTGAGAGAAAGTAAGCTCTTCAAACATATGACTTCTCAGAAAAGAGTTAACATAACAGGAGTTACTGTTATCCTTGGAAGTGTCTGCTTTCAAGGCTGGCCTATGGCTGACATTTCAGGGGAGTCTGACCATTAACTGGAGAGTACTCAAAGTGTAAATTACATGGTTTGTGCTATTTCCTTTTGAGAGCCTAGAATGTGGATGTGTGTCCACTAAGGGGTGCCCACATGATAAGCTCTTTGTAACAACACTGGGCCAACTAAGTCTCTAGTGAGCTCCAGCTGGCAACACTGCATATACATTATCATAGCCAACTGCTAAAGGAATTATTCATGCCCTGAGTTCCATTGGGAAATAACCCTCACAAATTTGTAGGAAGTTTCCCCTCAATTTTGCTGTGTATCCTTTCATTGTAACAAACCAGTCACATACCAATATAGTTAAATACTTAGTTGTCTCTGTAGATTATCAAACACAATTTTTGCTCATCTGGCAGATTTTGTTCACTAACCTTTTGGAGCATGTATGTATGTGTATATTCATGATCCAAATTCAATTCCATTAAAAAAAACACATTTTTAAGTCTGAGAATGACAAAAAGTAAAACAGAAGGACAGACTGATGAGACATGGTCTAGCCTTAAGAAGTGGATTGTCTGGTTGACAAATGAGTAAGACAAACAGAAATAACTCAGAGACTAAATGAAACAAGAGTTAAAGAAGTGAGGCGGGAAGCTTGGCAAAGTTTTTCAGTAGCTCTACAAAGAAAAGGAGGGTTTTACAGTAAAGAATGGAAGTCAAGTTTGCTGGCATATGCCTGAAATTCCAGCACTTGTGAGGTAAAGCAGGATTAGTCTGAGGCCAACCTGAACTACATAGCAAGACCCTGCTTCCAGAAGGGTAGGTGGCGGTACTAAGGCTATTTCTAGCTCAGAGAATAGTAAGAATAATGAAAACACACTTAAAAATGCAGATGACTATGGTGAAAAGTGCCTGGAAAGAGATCTTAAGACTAGACCTGGGTAACAGGTTTGGTTTCTTTGTGAGAACAACAGATACTTGGAAAGTGTTTGCGTATATAAGTTATAATAGAACACTAACTATGCTAGGAACCAAGAGATAAGCAAATTACAGGATCAGGAAAACACAATGGTTGGAATGCTCCTAAATATAGGCCAATGATATCTAGGAATCTAGCTTATAATGAAGGGAGCATTTTCTTCCTTTGCTTCTTTCTTTCTTCTTTTTTTCTTTTTGAGACAGGGTTTCTCAACAGTCCTGCTGTCCTGGAACTCACTCTGTAGACTAAGTTGCTCTCAAACTCAAGAGATCTACCTGCCTCTACCTACCAAGTGCTGCTATTAAAGGTGTTCGCCACTATGTCTGGCTTGAAGAGGGACATTTTCAATTGGCAAGGAGAGGACAAAGTATTCAATAAATGATGTTATAAAACTACTAGTAGGAAACAGATCTTGGTTTCATATTATATCATAAAAAATCTAATGGATTAAGTATGTTAACTATAAAACCACTTGACACAGTAAAGAATTTTCCTAAGAATAATTTTGATATAAAACCTCAAAGTCATACTGAAGAAATATGACAGACTCACGTCAGTCTTGAAAAAGTTCAATGATGTATGAAGCCAACCTAAACAGTTGCCAAACATAAAGTAAATACTAGCAAAATATATGGTAGGGTAAAGCTTCAGTGAGTCAAGAACCCACAGAAAGGCCAGCCTGATCTATAGAGTGACTTCAGGACAGCCAGGGGTACAAAAAGAGAACCTGTCTAAAATAAGAAAGTAAAGAAGAAAAAAAACCCTCTAGGGAAGCAGATATATAAATAAGATACGCTATTAATAACCAAACAAAAGTAGATAATGATGTGGGATTCTCCTATGTATGCTGTAATACCACTGGTGAATAAAGAAACTGCCTTGCCCTGTTGATAGGGCAGAGTAGAACTAGGCAGGGAAAACTAAACTGAATGCTCGGAGAAAGGAGGCAGAGTCAGAGAGAAGCCATGGAGCCACCTCCAGTGACAGATATGCCGAAACTTTGCTGGTACATCACAGCCACATGGCAATACTCAGATTAATGGAGATGGGTTAGTTTAGGATATAGGAGTTAGCCAGAAATACACTTAAGCTATTGGCCAAACAGTATTGTAAGAAGTTAGAGCTAATAGACCAAGCAGTGATTTAATTAATACAGACACTATGTAGCCCAGGATAGGCTGGAATTTACTGTGTAGCCAAGACTGACCTCAGTCTCACAAACTTTCTGTTTCACTGCTGGCCACTCCTCTCAAGTGCTAGAATTACAGGTGTCTACCATCATATATTGTAGAAATGCTTATCTTCTTTAAGAATGTATAAAAGAAGTTGGGCGGTGGTGCATGCCCTGAAGCCCTGCACTTAGAAGGCAGGGGCAGGAAGATCTCAGTTAGTTTGAGGCCAGTTTGGTCTACAGAGTGAGTACCAGGACAGTTAGGGCTACACAGAGAAACCCTGTCTCAAAAAACCAAAACAAAAAAGAAAAAAAGAAAAGAAAAAAGAAACTAGGTATACTTGTTCATAATCCCAGTACTTGTGTAGCTGAGGTTAGAGGGTCAAGAGATCAAGACCAACCTGGGCTATATGGTAAAATATTGCCTCAAAATGTTTTTTTTAAATATTTATTTATTACGTATACAATATTCTGTGTGTATGCCTACAGGCCAGAAAGAGGGC